TTCACATGATACTTGTAAGTCGTTAATGTTAATTATCTTTTCATCTTTTCAGATGAAGTTGGAGCCCTTGTTTTTGACATTGGATCCTATACTGTGAGAGCTGGGTATGCTGGTGAGGACTGTCCCAAGGTAAGTGGAATGGTAGAGTTAATTGGATATGCAAAAGCCATTCATGTAGAGTTAAATTCATGCGGAAATTCTGACTCAAATATGGTAAAAGACATTAGTTGGTGGAAATGACTTCTTGGTAAAAGCAGGTAAAATTTGTAAATAATGTTTTTGACTCTTACAGGTGGATTTCCCTACTGCTATTGGTATGGTGGTAGAAAGAGATGATGGAAGTACATTGATGGAAATAGATGGTGATAAAGGCAAACAAGGCGGTCCCACCTATTACATAGATACTAATGCCCTGCGTGTTCCGAGGGAGAATACAGAGGCCATTTCACCACTGAAAAATGGGATGGGTACGATGTTTTTTTCTATGGATTTGATTCTAAATGTAGAGTATGCATAGTATATTTTAGATATAAACCAATGGCTTCTTAAAAGTTGAACATCAGCTATTTTTTTGTTGTTTTTATTCCATAAGCTGATGTTCCAGGCACTGAGAATACAAAGATGCATAAAACGTGTTTCTTTTCCTCAAGAAACTCATAGGTAGAGGAGATAGATGTGTGTATATGTGTGTGTGTGTGTGTATATATATACACATGCACATATATATATATATATAGGATAAGTGCTATAATGTAACTATGTTTGATAAGCAGTGGGATTAGAGACGGGGGGTATATAACTCTATCATTGGGGGTCAGAGATGGTTTTCACAAAGGAGGTAACTTTTGTACTGAATCTTGATCACTGAATAAGAATTAGCCTGACTGACAAGGCTGGGTAAATTAGAGCAACCAGCATGTGTGAAGAGATGGTGTTGTGGAAGAAACTTCCATGTTTAGAAGTGTCATCAATTAAGTATGGCTGTAACAGTAGGTACATTATGGCCAATTGCAGGAAAGGTAGGCAGAGAGCAATCATAAAAGGGCTTGTAATGCCAGGAGTATATTAAGCTGGTAACTGAAAGGTAACTCCAAAGGAATTTAAACAGCATTTTATATATAAATGCTCATATGTGCCAGCTGGAAAGATTAGTCTAACAGTCCTGTGTAGGCTGGATTGGAGGGAGATACTAGAGATAGGAAGATCAGTTAGGGAGGTGAGTCCAAATGAGAAATGAAGAGGGTTAAAATTTTAATACTGATGGCAGAGATCCTGAGGTGGCTGTCAGAGATATCCAAGACAAATGGTACTAAGTGTTTAAAGAGTTGAGAAAGTTTCCTAGATTTTTGATTGGAGTCACTGAATGGGGGGTACCATGCATTGAGGTAGGAATAGCAGGGGAAGGAGCAAGTTTTATGGTCTTAAAAAGCAAGTGTAAGACCCAAGATCACTCTCAGGTCCAGTTATTCACTAGAAGGACTCACAGGACTCAGCATGTCAGTGTACTCACAGTTAAGGTTTATTATGCTGAAAGAATACAAAGCAGAACTGACAGAAAAAAGGGGCATGTAGAGAAGTCCAGAGGAAACCAGTGCAAGCTTCCAAGAGCTTACAGTGAAGTCATAAAGGATGCGCTTAATCCCTCCAGTAACCAGGAACATGTGTGTGTGGTCTACTAGTAGAGCTCATTAAAGACTCAGTACCCTACTTCACACTCACAGGATGGCTATATTATGAAGACAGACAATAGCAAGTGTGATGAGGATATAGAGAAACTGAAACCTCCATATCTGTTTCTGGGAGAGAACAAAAAATGGTTCAGCAGCTTTGGAAAAATTTGACAGTTTATTAACAGGTTAAACATAAATTCACCATGTAATCCAAACAGTTCCACTTCTAGGTATCAACAAAAGAGAACTGAAAACATATGTCCATACAAATACATACATGCAAACGTTCAGAGCAGCATTATCCGTATTAGCCGAAAAGTGGAAATAGCCCAAGGTGCATCATTGGATGAATGGGTATACAAAATGTGGTATACCCATAAAATGAAGTACTATTTGGCAATAAAAAGAACAAAATACTGATATAAGCTAAAATATGGAAGAACCCCAAAAGCCTTATGCCAAATAGAGGAAATCAGATGCAAAACTCCACATAATGTATGATTACTGTAATATGGAATGATCAGAGAAAGCTAATCTATACAGACAGAAAGTAAAGTAGTCGTTGCTTGGGGCTGTGGATGGAATGGGAAGTGACTGCAAAAGGGCATAAAGTTTCTTTTTGGGATGATGGAAATATTCTAAAATTAAATTGTAATAATATTCACACAACTTTGTAGATTTACAAAAGAAAATCATTTAATTGTACATTTAAAATGGATCCATGTTATGGAAAATTATACCTCTAGAGAGCTGTTAAAAAAAAACTGGAAGGACATTTTTTGTTGCAAATATTTTATTTCTTATATTATCTTGATACTTGGAATAAATGACTGTCTTTTGGATACAGAAAAAAGAAGAACTCAGTACCCATGGTTTTTATTAGGGGCTGGTCATGTAGGTACTCTGTGCCTAACATGTTCCAAAACCCCAGACTCCCAGAAGGAAAGGTATTCCACATAAACCACACTGTATAAACAGTTGAGGCACAGTGAGCTATTCGTATTTGGGGAAAGTTTTATATCAGTGTAGGGAACTGTTTACCAAACAAGTTCCTAGATGCCAGCCAAGGGTCAGCCTTGCAAGCAGGCCTTTCTCAGGTCTGCTAAGTTAGCTCTTTCTGCACAGCAAGTAGATGAGCTTATTAGTTTAAAGTGTTTGAATATAGGTGCTGATCTAATAAGCAGGTGAGAGAGATTTTAAGACATGGAGTTGATTTTTTTTTTTTTTACCAGAAAGAGTTTGGGATATGAGAAGAGGATTGAGGATAGGATTCCTTATGAAAATTTATTTCCATGTATGTAACCAATAGAGGTGCCTGTGAAGGAGAATGAGAAGGAACAGTTAGGGAAGTAGGAGAAAATTCAGGAGAAGGCCAAGAAAAGAAAAAGTTCTAGAAGTAAAGAAGTCCAGTGATTCTCATTGTTCTCAGCTGTGGCACTGAGCTTTACGCTAAGAAGGGGAAAGAGAAGTTAAAGCTACAGAGGAGGTCCATTGATCAAAAAAACCCCATCCTGAGAGGCCTATAGAAGTATGTTTACAAGGAATGACATTGCTTTGTTGGACTGCGGCAGAAAAAGTTTGTAAACTCTTGAGTCAGTAGTGTCAGATAGTAATTTAGAGAGGTCAGATGAGATTACAAATGTATCCACTGGATTTGCCTGTTAGAAGCTCATCAGTAACTTATGCGAGCAGTTTCAGTGGGATGTTTAGGTGGAAGGCAAATTGAAGACATACTATTCTCTAATTTTTTTTTAAGTCTTTACATCTTTTTTCATATAGATTGTAAGCTTTTTAAATGTCAGCTCTAGATCATACAGTTCTTCTGTGTTTTCTCCTACCATTTGAATTGCGTTTTGGGCCTTTAATAAGTACTTACTGAATAATATTTATTTGGTATTTTACGTCTATTTGATACATTAATTACACCTGGGACAGGTCTAGGGGTTGTAACTGTTGGGGCTGGAGAAACCGTATCTAGAAGACAAAGATGATGTCTATATGAAGTGCTGTGTTATGAGGCAGAGCTGTAAAATAAGTAGGTTCTGTATATTACAGTGTCAATATTAGTGCTAAACCATTAGACACAGTCTCTCAAAAGATGCTGTATTAATCTTCGATTAAGCATTATTTTCAAGGTATTAATCTTATATTTTAGTTGAAGATTGGGATAGTTTCCAGGCTATTTTGGATCATACCTACAAAATGCATGTCAAATCAGAAGCCAGCCTGCATCCTGTTCTCATGTCAGAAGCACCGGTGAGACAAACTTTTTCGAGTTTCTCTAGGTTGTTTATTTACTCATTTGAAGAGTGTTTCCTTTTTCTTTAAGAGACATAGAAATTCATATTTTGAATTTTGAAGATTAGGGAAAGGGAGATTCATTTATAAATACTCTTACAACTTTTATTTTTATTATTTCAATAATTAAAATACTCAGAGAACAATAATTAAAGCACCCTAGTGGGTTCTGGTGGTTATTTATCTGTTTTTTCCGGGAATTTAACATTTGATTTCCTTGGGCTGCTTCCCATTTTGGTCAGTTGTCCCTTATCCCTCAAGGGCAGTGTATATCTGCTTTTATACTCAACCTTAAGAGTGACTAGATTCACTCTTTTTTTTTAAATATAAATTTATTTATTTGGCTGCATTGGGTTTTCGTTGCTGCATGCGGGCTTTCTCTAGTTGCGGCGAGTGGGGGCTACTCTGTTGAGGTGCGCAGGCTTCTCATTGCAGTGGCTTCTCTTGTTGCGGAGCACGGGCTCTAGGTTGCGCGGGCTTCAGTAGTTGTGGCACGTGGGCTCAGTAGTTGTGGCTCACGGGCTCTAGAGTGCAGGCTCAGTAGTCATGGCTCACGGGCTTAGTTGCTCTGCGGCATGTGGGATCTTCCCAGACCCAGCGTTCTAACCCGTGTTCCCTGCATTGGCAGGCGGGTTCTTAACCACTGTGCCACCAGCGAAGTCCCTAGATTCACTCTTAAGATTTAATAATACTTCATGTTTATAAGAATCCTGATATCCCTATACTTTGAAAAGTCTGTAATTTCTAGAATTCATAGCAGCAGACAATTTTACTTATTAAATAATAAAATTTATATTTAAAGTCAATGTTGAACTAGGGCTGGAAATTGCTAGACCAGAGTCTCTTGTGAAATACATTTGGTACAGAGTCAAAAGGGCCCAGAAGACTAGATAATGATTATAAATTATCAATATTTTGTTATTGTTTTCTAAACTCTAGTTTCTTTTGAGTACCATCTACAAGTGGGAGAATTTGGTGGTTTAAAATGCATATTTAAGATTTTGATGACTAGATTCACTCTTTTTTTTTGACTATTACTGAAGTTTATTTAACAAAAAAGTTCAGTAAGAAAATGTACACGACCCAGTTTTCATCGCAGTAAAATGTGGAGAGGGGACATGTGGAAGCAGTTGATTTCTCTGTTGAAGACAGCTATTGTTCATAACTCGTTCCAAGGATTCTAACATGATGGTACTATTTCCTCGTATTACCACCATTCCAGTATTGTTCTGTTGCCCACTAGTTGCTATCTCCACACATTCATCTATCATAAGATTCATAAAGAGATCAAATCCCCTTAATATTCCTTGGACATGTCTGCCACCATTTAATTTCAATGATAACTTCTTGTCCATAAATTTCTTCAACTCGGGAGGGTGAGCTTTGCTCATGATGTCTACTCCACGAGCTCAAAGATGCCTCCAAACGGAATTCGAATTGTCCCTCACGCTTAGATTCACTCTTAAGATTTAAAAAAAAAAAAGATTTAATAATACTTCGTTTATAAGAATCCAGATTTCCATATACTTTGAAAAGTGTAATTTCTAGAATTCATAGCAGCAAACAATTTTATGTATTAAATAATAAACTTTCTATTTATTAAATTTATTACAAATACATAGAAATAAATGTTGTAAAGATATTATGAAGAAGATTTTCCATGGTATTTTACTCTATTATTAATGTTTTACATCTTTGTTAATGTAGTGCTGAAATGAATTTTGAGATAAATCAACACTTTAGTTTTTAAACAATAAATAATTTGCATTTCTTTTTCCCTCTTTTCAAGTGGAATACCAGAGCAAAGAGAGAGAAACTGACAGAGTTAATGTTTGAACACTACAACATCCCTGCATTCTTCCTTTGCAAAACTGCCGTTTTGACAGCGTATCCTTGAAGGAGTAATACCAAACTTCTCTTTAGGAGTAACTGTGGTGCTGTTAAAGGTGATACCTTCAGCAGGAAGACAGGAGCCACTTCTTGCTTGTTCGGAAGTTGAGGCGTTTTTCTCCATTGCTTTTAGATATCTATCTTTTAGTATTCTTATTGGAACTGATGCATGTGAAAATGTGAGAGGGAGATAGGAAAGAAGCACTCAAATTCTTCTCATTAATTTAACAAAGTTTAACAAAAACAAAAATTTTTGTTTTTAGAAGGGGAATGTGACGACAGGACAGTATCTAAGTCAGTTGACCTAGCTGAATTCAAAGATTGCCATTTCCTTCCTCTTCTCCAGTACCTTAGAAAAGTGGAAATTGGATGTAAATTCATTTAAGATTTAATCACCAAATATTTTTTACAAGCATATTAAGGGACAGACAAGGAAATATTATGTCCTGATCTCAAAGAATAATATTCTTGTTGAAAACTAAATAACAGATTTAAATAGTACTTCAAAATAGCATTGGCAAAAGTCATAAAGAAGTACATGATTAATTTGAATTTTTCAAATAGCAATTGTAGTTCAGTGGAGTAATATTGTAGCCTGACAAGCCTTTGTAAAGAAAAGAGAATTTAGTTGCAGGATGTGGGGGAAGGAGACCTATATTTAGAGTTCAAGTTCCAGTGCTTATAAACTGATCTTGAATTAGGTACTTAAAATTTGAACTTCACTTTTTACTCATTTATCTGGTATACCTCCCTGGATTGCTGTAATAATCAAGCGAATTTTATATGTGTGAGAATCACTGTGGTAACTGTAATCTAACATTTGTCTGTCGTGGTGTGTCTTGGAGATGACTTTAGCACAAATGTGGAGGTGGAAAGTGTAAGCGTTCTTCACAGTGACTTAGTTTAGAGTTGAAGATTTATGTTCGGCTTCAGAACAAGTTGTAAAAATATGTTTAGATCAGACTGTAGAAGTCTTGCATGTTAGATTTTAAAAATGTGAACTTTAGACTCAAGAGAACCATTGCAGGTTTTGAGTAGAGGAAGGAGGGAGAGTATTAGCAGACTCATTGTGTGCATTATATCATTTAATTTTCATAATAATCCTGTCAGGAATCGGAGTCAAAGTAAGCAAACTGGTCCCAGTCCACAGCTTGAAAACGGCAATTCTGAATTTGAACATAAGATCTGTTTGGCTGCTTCCTTACAAGGAGTATGTAAACAGAATTGGTATTGTTTTATTTTTTAACTTTTTATTATAGAAAATTTCTTACACAAAATAAGATAGAATATTATATTGAACCTCCATGTGCCCATCACCCAGGGTCAACAACTTTCAACACAGAGCTAAGTGGTATTAGCTATAACCACAGGCACTCCCCCTCCCACCATGGTTTTGAAGTAAATCCCAGACATTAAGCATGTATCTGTACAAGATGTTACCATATGTCTCTTTTTTTTTAAAGATATAACCACAATTTATTTTCTTTTTTAAAAAACAGTTTAGTATATTTGAATCAGGACCCAAGCAACAGGGATCATGCATTGTATTTTGTTCGATATGTCTCTTAGGTCTCTTGTGGTCTGTAGATTGTACCCACCCTCCCCTTTATTTTCTCTTGTAATTTATTTGGTAAGGGAAGTAGATTGTCCTCTAGAATTCCTAACACTTCTGGCTTTTGCTGACTAGTGTTTTTTACTGTGTTCTTCTAGCCCAGAGGTTCTCAAACTTTTTATACCTAGAGCTTTTATTTATGTGGATCATATCTGGTAGTATTTGCCATATTAGAAATTAAGACAGAAACTTAAAAAAATTATATTTGCTTATTTTAAGTAAATTAATAAGCCCATTGTATGATAATATAAATAAAATATTTTAATAAAAAATAACTGTGTTTTCCAAAACCAAAAATATTAGAAGGGTGGCTTCGTTTCACAATTTTTCAAATGTCTTTAACGTTGGACTTAATAGCAGAAGTTGGATTCTCATATCACATTCAGTCTGTTGTGTATCACACATGACATAGCCTCTGGAAAAAAAACTCTCTTGTACATTTATGAGAGGATGACAGTGAAAAGGGCAAATAACATCTTAGTATTATTCTAAAAATTGTTTTGACTTCCTAACCATGGCCTTGGGATTCCTTTACACTTTTAAAAATTACTGAGGATGACGCAGAGCTTCTGTTTTTTGTAGGTTATAACTATCAATATTACTGTTTGAGAATTTAAAACTAAGACTCCTTTTAACATTTTCTTATTAATTTAATTAAAAATAACAAAAATACACACATTAACGTCGACAAAAATAACAGTTTTATGAAAAAGATAACTCTGTTTTCCAAAACAAAAATATTAGTAAGAAGAGTAGTATTGTTTTATCTGACTTAATTGATAGCTGGGCTCTTATCTGCCAGCCTCAGGCTCTGTCCTCTTGACACCTCAATTTGCGAGGCAGGCTTCAGCCTTCTCCTGTCAGAGCTGCATGCTGTTGGAGAATTCATTTATTTAAAAAGGTAGCAAAATCACAGAACTCATTGGTGCACCTCTGTTTTTCAAGAATGCATTGCCCTTCTGTTCTCTGCATTTTGTTGGTCCCCCTGCAGTCCTGCAGTTGAATAGTTCAGTTGTCAACCAGAGATTTGGGTAGATTTTATACTCAGATTTTGGGTTTTATCCCTTCTGTGGTTCTCTTTCTTCCAGAGTTTCTACCTTAAATGTCCAGCTTTTCTTCCACCCCTGAACTCCTTTCTGTGTTCACTCAAGGTGGTAAAGTTGCGATTTTTCATCACTGCTTTCCTGAACCATAGCCATGGAGCTGGGAAGCACTTTTAGGCGAGGAAGCTGCAAACTTGCAGTTTTTACCCCCTCTGGTTGCAGTTTCATGAAGATAAGTTTTGGCTGAGTTTTGACTACTTTTGAATACTTTCCAGTATCTTAAAATGGTCACTTAAAATAATTTGTCCAGGTTTTATAATTGCCATCTTCAGGAGAGCTTACATACTTTTAGTCTGGTGTTACTGTATCACTTTGTACTAACAGAGATAAAATTAGTGTTTATGTATATAGATGACCAGAGATCAATGGAGTACCAGTAATAGCAAAGATAAATTACTAACCTATCGTTCTGGCCATTTATTCTCAGACCTCTTTCCTCTGATCGTTCCTGCCCATGCCTTAGTTCTCTGCCCTTAGCCCTTCATCCCTCTTGACATGTTCTTTCTGGTTTAACTATCTATTTCCTTGGCTTCAGATACCAGTTATACACTGACAAATTCCAAATCCATGTTTGTATCCCAGATCTTTCTTGTGAGCTCCAGGCCCACGTCCAGCTGTCTACTAGAACTTTTTTCTATTAGTTATCTGTTTAAGCACTTTAAACTCAATATATCCAAAATTCTTCTCTCCCATCAAATTTATTCTTTCTCCTTTGTGTATTATCTTACTCCCAGTTGTCTAGACCAGAAATCTTTCTCATTAACCCTTCAGATTTTCTAGTTATCAAGACCTGTCTATTCTCCAGCCTCCCCCGGCCCCAAACCAAACCCTCAAATCCATTTATTTCTCTATCCACTGCCATTGCATTAGGTGCACCCCTTCCTCTTATCTTGCGCAGTCTTCACACTGCAGCTCTGATCATCTTTGTTAATTGCCAGTCTGCTGATTTAAGCCAGAATCATCTTCCACAGCCTTGCCTTTCTTCTCCTTTCAGGCCCCACTGAACTATGCTGCACTTCCCTGACCTCTTCACTATGCTCTCTTGCCTCCTCGCCTTCCCGCATGTTTCTCCTCTTCCCCATGTCCCCCTCCCCAGCTTACAATTGAATTTCCCAGGGACCGGTTATATTCCTATATACTCTCCCATGGCATCTCAAACTGTTCTTTTTATAGCTTTATTGATCTCTGCTGCACTTATCAGGATATCCTTCAGGGCAGAGACAGTTTTGGTTCACCTCTTCGTGTCTTCTCTGCTTAAGGAGTGCTAGTGAGAGAATGACCTCCCTGCTGCCCTCCTTTATTGGGCACCAGACCTATCACTAGGCACATAATAGATGCTCAGTAAATATTTGATGATCCAGTGAATGGCTCTACTCCTAAATGTTGGTTTATGATGTTCACGTGATGTAGGCCTTCTGCAGCACAGAGCTGTGGAAAATGGGATAAGTGGAGTCTGCTGATATTCACTGGCTGTTGAATCTGCCTGGAATAGCTCTTCCTATTGAGTTGGGGGAGATGATGATAACAGCCACTCACCTGCCAAACTGCTGAAATGGTTCTTTAATCCTATGTGAGAATGGTTTTAGTTCTTATCTCAAATGTCACAGCCTCCCACTGTTCTTACCAAGTTTCTATAGATTTAGTTAAATGCTTCTCAGTTTGTTGTAAGCCCTTTGATCTGTGCCAGGGACTGAATAATTGTGCTAATTATTTGGACCAGTTTAACAGATGTCTCTCTGGGATAAAGGTTTCTCTGACTTCCTCACACCACCATTCTGGAAGTCCTGCCTGTTCTCATTTGTTTTGAAACCAGAGTTATTATTTGATGCCAACTTTCATCCCCATATTTATTTTATTATTTTATTTATTTTTTAATTTTTTTTGCGGTACGCGGGCCTCTCACTGTTGTGGTCTCTCCCGCTGCGGAGCACAGGCTCCAGACACGCAGGCTCAGCGGCCATGGCTCACGGGCCCAGCCGCTCCGCAGCATGTGGGATCCTCCTGGACCAGGGCACGAACCCGTGTCCCCTGCATCGGCAGGTGGACTCTCAACCACTGAGCCACCAGGGAAGCCCTATTTTATTTTTTTTTAACGCATTTTAAGCCACAATGCACATGTTTTA